TTATTGGCGGACAAGCTGTAGATCCTGGCTACAAAGGAGTTGTAGCGGTGGGAACGAGAGGTGGGAATAGTCCCGTACTTATGTCGTTGTAATACGTGCTACTTTACCTGTGAGTTCCGGACTTTCCGGAGACCATAGCACTGGAGGCTAGCTGGACTGCAGGTGCACCTGTAAAGACGACCTTATTCCATTGTACCTATTACGTGCTACTTTACCTGTGAGTCCCAGAGATCACGTCTTCTATGCAGGCGACGGAGAGGATGATGATGTCACCGTAACGCCAGCTGTGTCTCTGATGGTAAAGACGACCTTATGCCACTGTAATACGAACTGTTTTCCCTTACCTGTGAGTCCCAGAGACCACGTAGAACTGCTTGGCGTCTTCGATGCAAGCGGCGGAGGTGAGCATATACCGCTCGTGGATGATGACGCCTCCACAGAGCAAGTTGGTGTCTGCTGTAGTGAAGACGACCCTATGCCGTTGCAATACGAGCTGTTTTACGTATGAGTGTCAAAGCCCGTATAGATCTGGAGGCTGGCCGGAGGTACACCTGTAAAGACGACCTTACGCCGTTGTAATACGAACTGTTTTCCCTTACCTGTGAGTCCCGGAGACCACGTAGAACTGCTTGGCGTCTTCTATGCAAGCGGCGGAGGTGAGCACATACCGCTCATGGATGATGACGCCTCCGCATAACCAGTTGGTGTCTGTTATGTGAGGGTCGGCGCTGGAAGCTGGGCGTAGGTACACCTGGATAGACCTTATAGCGTTGTAATATAAAAATACTAAGGCTGGATTGCACCATCTTACTTTAACTTTGACAAACGTCAAAAATCTGTCAAACTCCATACAAAAAACACCGGTTATCGTTATAGTTACGGTCAAAGTTGAGTGGTGCAACTCAGCCTAAATGTTATTATGCAAAATGGTGAAGTATGATGTGAATTCAGAGTTTATTACACTCGTCAGTGAGGTTCGTGGAGACCATGTACAGAAAAGCGCAGACGTGAGACGTCCACCTTGTAGTCGACCTCATAAAGGTAGCAGAAAGGCGCTGGATGCAGGCCGCTACCAACCGGTCAATATGGAAATAATTGGAGGAGGCATGTTCAGCAGTGGACGTCGTGTGATGAAAATTGATGATGACTCGTTATTATGCATTTAACATACCATGTAAGGCCTCGTTTCACCCACTTCTCGCCCGCCTACTATTCTTCTTGTGTTTTTAAAAGTTACATTTTGCGATAAGTTGAGGACTTCTTTTCTTAAAGGTTCTGAGGAAGAAGTTTGTTAAAGTCATATGAGTAAACCAAGTGATCTCAAAATTAATGAATTATGGCATTAAGTAGGTAATTGTTTTGTTTCAAACAAGTTAACAATAGATAACACACTTACTTACCGGCTTTAGTAATCCCAAAATATAAAATTATACAATTTATTAACAATTTCATTTTAACAAAACAATGTTATCCTTCATTGTAAAGTCACATAAACTTTGCTTCAATCACATGCTTCACTGAAAACACATAAGTTTAGTCATTGCATTTGGAAAACTAAATTCTTATCAGAATTTGTTGGCTTTATCAATGAAAGAACTTAATTTTATTGTTTTGTCCACTCGTCGACTAGGTATATAAATTTTTTTTTTTTTTTATAATGGCAATCCGCGCAGTATGCGCCGTGCCAGAGTCGAGTAAAACGGGGAAACGGGGAGATTAAAATATTTTCGGCAACGGATTTAAATTTAGGAAATTAGGATCAGGAGAGGACATAGGATATAGGTAACTACTACTAGTACTAAATACATAAATACANAAAATCAATATGTACATTTTTTTTTTTAGTGGCAATCCGCGCTGTTTGCGCCGTGCCAGAGTCGAGTAAAACGGGGAAACGGGGAGATTAAAATATTTTCGGCAACGGATTTAAGGAAATTAGGATCAGGAGAGGACATAGGATATAGGTAACTACTACTAGTACTAAATACATAACGACTAAAATATTAAATACAAGAACAACAAGTTTATTTATATCTTAATACTATTGAAATTTAAGTATGAAATAATACATTTATACAATTTAAGTAAAGTATACATACTATAGAGGTTGGGAACGGAATATGGAGAGAGATTAATGAGTTCAGGAGGACATTTCGGTTACTGTAACGAGGACAAGTGAAGAGAATATGATTGAGATCCTCGACCTCTATCCCACACTCACATTTATTGTGGTGCAGCAGTCATCTTGACATTTACTTTTTTTTAAGGCAAAGGAATTACATTGAGCACCCAAACCACAGATTACTTAGTAGCCCAAATATCTTTTTTGTCTTTAATAATAACTCAAAAATACAAAAAGACATCAGTTTTGGTCAACTATTTCTTAGTTTTACTTTTACTCGTATTTCATTTGTTTCTGTGAAATACGTAAGATATTCCCAATAAAATATTCCGTAAAGTACCGGTTTTACAAACGTCACTAGGCGCACGAAGAAACGCCACCTGACAAAAGAGTCCCTACTTAGGTTTACTATAGCATGGTGAAAACGAACTTAGGTTAGTGGGCAGTTTAGGCGATCGTTTAACCAAAGTGATATTTAGTTAGCAAACGCTTAAGGGATCGATGGTGAAAACGGGCATTAGTCTACTTTACTCACATTATAAACCATTTTTAAAAGCATAAAAGCAGAAAATAAATGACTATTTTCAAATTGAATCATAACTGATTAGATGATAGAGCCCCCGATTAACGTTTTATACAGAATTATTAATAGTACCTACTAGTTAGTGGAGTCTATTCATTAACCAGATAGAAAATATTTTCATAGACCATTAAGCAAATAGAATTACTGAAGCGTAATACTTAGTGAATATAGACTATGATCTATCTTCATATTTCACTAAAAGACTGCGCAGTTTCGTAGGCTTTAATGGCTGGCGTAAAGTGCACAACTTAATATTTATTGCTTAAGTTTCTCTCTGTTTCTCATTTTTTCTGTTTTGTTTTAATTAGTTACTAAAACTTTTTCGGGCTGATGTACAAAAAAAAAACTATGTACGAGTAAAACGTAAGTAAGAAGATATTATGTTCAGTTAGTACTTACAAAAAATAAAAAACCTTGGGACGAGGCTTTTTAAATTAGATTAAAAACATTTGGGAAAAGCTACTGTTGCGAAGGAAACAATAACTTTCAGTTTCAATTCAAGTTGTACAGCCGTGAGAACATCAGGCTCTACATTTTCGTTGCAAAATCAAACCTAACACAACTACATAAGGTGCTACAGTTTTCAGCTGTTACATTCCAGTCCAACACCCGGTAATAGGAAATCCTGGAATAACAATATCGTTACTTCGGAATTCGGAACGAGTCCAGGCAATTAGCGGTCCCGTCCAGGGACTTCCGGCGGGTTCCGCTCGTTTCGACGAAATATTTTGGATTTTATAGTCAGGCCTTTTATCCGAGTGCCTTTATCTGAATTTTCTATTAAAACTAATGACAACAAAACAAAGACAAAATATACGAGTAAAATACGTATTAGTTTAGTACATCGTCATCCTTAGTAGGTATAGAATCTAGAAACACGTTAATGGAAAACATTAGGTAAAACCAATTTTTGTCGACAGGTCTTCTGATCGAAGACGAAATAATATTATCTTGATTCAGCATGGTGTTATACTCTCTTTGGTTCAGTTAAGGTTAAAATGTATTATAGTTATTATGTACCTACGTTTGTTATAGGTAATGTTATTCTTAATCAACATGAGCTTTTTCAAAATTCCGTGCAAGCAAATACGTCCATTTATAGCGTAGTATCAAACTTCTAGCATATTAATAGATCTAGGTTACAGTCCACTGTACAAATTACCATTCTACTTAACTTTCCAAGTCCTTAGTGACGAGTATTAACCTTTATTTGGTTTCAAAGAGTCTGAAACTTCAATGTTTCAGTATCCTTTTATTTAAAAGATAAGAAATCAATTGACGGGCTATATTGGCCATCTTGACTTGAAGGGGTTCCCATTGTTTATCCTCAATGAGACGATGGAAACATTTTGGCTCTCCAAGGGTTTCTTCACTGAATAAAGGTTGCTATTTACCTATTGAAGAAAAGGATAACTTATAAACGAAGTTTTATGGACTAATAATAATTAATTAATTATTTGTTAGTTAGATTTTTTTGAACTAAAATAAGTATAAAGGTTTTATGACTTGATTTAAGATTATTAAATTTACAGTAGTTAAAGTTTAAAGTCTTCATGATTTCAGGGCACGTTCTCCTCCCAATTAAATGACTACTTGATCTACCACTACTTCGAGGCATAGAAATAAGTGGTAAACGAAACTCTGTGTTTGTTATACCAGGATGTTAGCTCATATTAACTAATAAATTACGATTCGACGTTTACAGTTTCCGAATTGTTTGTATTGTACATATTGCTTCTCAGATTTACGTGAACGTTAAGACCAGACAAACAAGTTTTATGAGAGCACCGCGATATTAAAATGAACTTGTTCCAAACATTTTAATATGAAACCTTAAGGGTATGAAGCTAATCTTCAGAAGAAGTTAGTTGCACTGAGAAATGTATTTTCATTAAGTAATCCCAATGTTGTTATGTGAAACGTAGTAAGGTAAAACCTAGCATATAGGTTTCTGGTAACGTTGCACATTCATGCGATTGTAATAGTGTGTATTAATTGAATATTTTATATCGGTTATTAATTGAGATACAGATAAATACATACAACTTTGATCAATATGCTCAATGCTTTAAGCTTAATGTTATATTAGAAAACTAGGACAACAAGAAAAAAACCCTTCTGACCAGCGCGCAGGCCAAATCCAAAGCCTCTGGTGAAATAAAGAGGCTCGTGGTCCTGCAGTGCAGGCCAAATTATCTGGTTATCATGATGAATATGTATTGAGAAATTTTCTGCCACCATAGAACTACAAAATATTTTCATCATACATATTTCACCACTGAATTTTCTTTCTAGATTTCCGCCTAGTATTCCCAACGGGTGACGGCATGGCGATCTCCTACCCCATCAGGCTGCCGACGCGCCGCGAGCTTAGTTCAGCTCGCACCCTGACTCTTAGCAGGAGGGATAAGGTGGAAGCCAAGCTGCGGCTTGCGAGGAGATGTGTGCTGGCTGCCTTTAGCACAGCTCTGGTGGGAGATCACAGGTAAATAAAAGCCTGCTTCTAACTTAGCTTAGCAAGATGAGTTCTGACATGCAGCAGAAGAGATAAGGGGGAACGATCGGGACGACGGGAGAGGCACCGATGGTTGCATAATTAGCACTGCTTTGGTGGGAGACGACAGGTAAATATAATATAGCTTTCTCCAGAATGAGCTCTAACACTCTCCAGGAGAGACTAGGGGGAAGCTGTGCTATGGCTAGCGAGGAGATGCGTGCTCGTGTCATTTACCACTGCCTTATGCCCGTTTTCACCATTAATCCCTAATTTTTAAGTGACTTCTATGGTAACACATCCTTGGGTTAGGCCTTTGACCAGCAGTGGACGTCTTTCGGCTGAAACGATGGTAACACATAACAGGAATTTTGTTTTCATAGGGGTCATTTAAAAATTAGGGATTAATGGTGAAAACGGGCATTAGTCTTTGAAACACCTTCTAGTCTAGCTAAGGTAATTAGCTCGAACGAAAATAATTTCAAAGAAAACGTCAAATTAAATTTCGTTATATCTATATTACCTTAAAAAGTTATTAATAAACGAATAGCTATTAATAAATAGGGAACACCAAGAAATACATTGCAAATAATTCCCTTTCATATAGTTCAGACAGACTAAAGTAATTTAAATTATTATAAAAGATTAAAGTGCTAGTATTTACGTGGATTTATTTTTTAACTAAATGGATCATTCCACACCCAACTTTAATCTCCAATACCCATACACAAGAATGTCGAGATTCTTTCAGGAACAGAAACTGCTAGAAAAGTCAAGTTGGTAGTTTGTTTGTTATAAACCGGGCGTTTTATGTCCAACGTCCCGCGTAACGAGGGTAGCACGGGAACTGGCAGCTGTATCTGGGTCTATCGATTGGGAGGTTAAAACTTTTACAGTGACTTATTATTAGAGTCACTGGAAATAAAGCGACATTGGCCTAGTGGTGTGTGAATTTAGTTTGAAAAGCAGCTTTTAAAGTGTTTCATATTGTATTCACGCGAATTCGCCCGCGTGGAATTTTGTCTGTCATAGAAAAATTTTATCGCGCGCGTCCCTGTTTCAAAAACCGGGACAAAAACTATCCTATGTCCTTTCCGGGGACTCAAACTATCTCTATGCCTTTCATCAAAATAGCTTTCGCATTTATAATATTAGTATAGATAGTATAGAAGTAAAGATGCTAAACTGTTTGTAGGTGAAGGCCCTGGACAAGGTTTAAGGTGTACTTAAATGCCCTGGACAAACAGGGAGTTCGAAAAGACTTTTTTGATAAAATTGCGGAAATTATTAATAAAAATATAACAATTATAATAAAAGTAGCTCAATTAGGATCCAATTACTATTCGAGTTTGTATTATCAAAATGAACCCAACTTTTAGTTACACCCTACGAGTTTGTCTCACCCTCTTCAGAACACCCTGTACCTATAGTGTCTATCTAATATCATTTAAATTACACAACTTTCGGAGGTTCGACCCGAATCAAAAATATGTAAGGGGATATTAAATATTTTAACACACAATATAAAAACTTAAAATCTATAAAATTAATAAGTACTATGAAATTCAAGGAACATTTAAACAATCTGCAGCACTTCGTGAGCTGAATACATTTGCAATTAACAAATCAACAATTCAAGTCCGACGCCATGTTGGATCCCGACAATTTATTTATAAGGGAACGGGCACAATCTTGATTAATGCCCATCGGCCGGCTGATACCGATTTCTAATTTGTGTTAAAGGCCCAGCGAATTATTTTTGGTAGACCCATGGCCACAACTGACATAAAAGTTTGCTTTGGAGAAGGACAAAAATTAGTTTTGGCACTATGTATAGGGTCATCAGTTCTAAGATCAGTTTTGGTAAGTTTTAAGCCTATAAAAAGCAGTGGGAATATAGTTCCCACCATATTTTCTACCTTATTTGTTTATTTGTACCTTAAGGTCCAAAAACAATGAAAATTTTGATTGTGTTATGACTGTTAAAGGGTTTACTAAAAAATCTCTTGAGTTAACCTGTTGGGTACATGGTTTAGAACAGAACTTTTTTTCTAATTAGAACCCGTTCGTCTACTTCTAGGTAGAATTATCGACAGTATGGAAATATCTAAAAAAAAAATTAAGAACCCTGCAGGTCCAGTGACTGCTTTTTTGTTTTGACACCAGCCTATAGTAGTTGTGGCACAGAATAATAATAAGTACCTACTACGTACAGAAGTTTTACTTCGCGAAGGTATTTAAAAAAAAATATGCTCAATGTCATTAACAATATGGTGTAATTTAGCTTGTCTCAAGAGTCAAGCACCATTTTGTTGATAAACGTCAGTGATCGGTACTGCGCCGAAGCTATAGGGCTGACTTCGGTAAAATGATGTGACGTGAGGTGCCAATCTGCAGAAAATGGCGGAGGAAATACATGATTTAGCATGAATTATCATGAATAATATTAACTACTTATTTACCTCTCAGTGTCTTCAGGCAACTTAAAAAAGTACATTCTGAGTTTTTATTATTATTTAGGCAGTTAAGTACTGCACAGTATTTGGTACACCATCTTTATTTTTTTCCATCATACACAAGAATACGCGTGCGTGGATCAATGTTCGTTCGTATGTGAGGCCTTGTCGAATAGTATCCTGTAGGGGGCCATCGTGCGTGTTTTGTTTTCGATGTAAACTCGCGGAGATGAACAGGCCTGGTTGTGGTTGCAATTTCTGCTGAAAATAGCAGCTAGCAACCATATAGAGCATACTGAGTTTTCTTCCATTGTTGTTTCAGCTGAGCACAGCCTATTCGTCAAGGAAACCTTTGAAGGTTATCGGTACATATTGATCTATCTTATTTTTTGCTTCGGGAAATTAATAGCAATTGGCGGTTAAATTGTAGATCCTGGTACGGTCAGGTGGTCTCATCAAAATTATTACGAGTATTAATAATTTTTCGGGTGTGCGTGGTTATACATAAAAAAATATACTATGAAACATCAAAAAAAAATCCCAAATGGAATGGTCAAATAAAAACAACTTACCGTAAGCCAGCAATTCCAACGGCTTTATTCTTGAAAAATAGCACCACGTTAGGTCGACTCCATTTATTTTTCTGAAATTAAAGAAAAAATATGTTCAAATATTACGATATATTTATAAAGACATTTATAAAGACAAAAACATTGATTGTCTTTTAATTTTAACGTGCATCAAGCGTCAAGGGACTTTTATTTCGACTTGTTTTGGATTCGGCGGTGTCTTGAAATCCTGCTTAGACAGCAGATTATTTAATATTCAATTTAAATACCAAATATTCTTTGATGTTAGCAAAAAATTATCATTACTTAACAAAAAATACAAATACTAACTAATTGTCAAAGGACTTAAGAAAAGCTCAAATACGTTTGCTACCATTGACTGATAATTGAAGAAAATATAGCTAAATGTTCGGGCGACGATCAATCTTGCTTCACTCGCTCTCGAAACTTGATGGTAAGGTATTTTTATGGCTTAAGTCGGAATATGGCTATATTACAGCAGGTTCACTCTGCATTAGACTTTGTATAATTTTTAAATTCGTTCGTTCGTTTCAGCCAAATGTCGTCCACTGCTGGACAAAGGCCTCCCCCAAGGATTTCATAACAACCGGCCCTGCGTTGCCCGCATCCAGGTTCTTCCCGCTTTGTATGTACTTATCTTGATGTACAGAAGTGTAATTTTTGCGCATAAAAGGTTTTTTTTAACCGCTAATAAACATTGTCATAAGCTAAGCTTTTTCGATCGTCTTGTAATAGTAACATATTTTGCATAACGAAAAATAATTAATTACAGATTCGATTATGAATGTAGCGAGAAATAAGCTATCTTCCATTTATTTGTGTAATAGCATGTTTAAAAAAAACTAAGTAGGTAAAAGAATTCATGTAGATAATACTTCTGTATTACTTTACATTATGGTCCCATTTCTCCCGGCACATCCATCAATAAGGGGTCGTAAGTGGCTTATAAATCAAATTCAATAAATTACTTTTGCTATGAGGTTTTTAATTAGTTCGTCGATGATGCAATCGAGATGATGCTAATTATTAAAAGCAAATTCAACTCGATCGACTCGAGTCATCCTTTACACCTAACGGCTATGTATTCGGTTCCTATGAAAAAACCTAAAAAGTAAAAACATAATAAATAACTTAAATAAAAGAGTCTCATATGTATCTATCCTGCTTCCCATTTCATAGTTAGGTACAAATTATTCAGTTCTTTGAGAATCATAGACACAATCTCCAATAGATATAACAAACGTATTTTTCTTTACAGGGTAAAACCAAGAAAGATCACCCGCCACGAGAGCACAGATGAGATCCTAGCTAGCGTCAAATCTGGCAACTACTGGCGGAACAACACCAAGCCAGACATCATCCCTTCCACCTCCATACAGGACATCAGCAAAGACGACCTTCCCAGAGTCAGAAGACGGTCCCGTAGAAGTCGTCCCGTCACTTCTTATGGGTTTCCAGAAATTTCTTTGACAGACCAAGGGGATACGAAGACCATGAGACGGAAGTACCATACGCTGAAGAGTTTGGTGTATACGGAGCCGGTAGAGAGTATCAGAGAGTTGAGAGAAAGGCCCCGGTCTGCTGGGTCTACTGTCAGGAATAAGGAGGTGTTGACCAGGCCAAGCCTTTTGGAGACTTTGGACTTCATTAATAGCGTGAAGGATGCGTTGTGCGGTAAGGATTTCATAAGCAAAGTAGTTCTTATAGTCCTGAAAGAAGCCTTCCAGGAGAAAAATGAATGTTTATTGTCCAGTGGAAGAATCAGGCGCATCAGATGCTGAAGACTCTGGCTGGTCTGCGCAAGAGGAATGGCTGGCTGGGCAGACAGCACCACTAAACTTGCTGGTGGCAAGGTCAGGGTCGCACACGCTCCACCTGCTGCTAGGCGACTTGGTTCTAGCTTTGCTGCAGAGGGGAAGGTTTACGGTAAGTACTTATTTGGATTGTAAGATTTCCCAGTATAATGTACCTACTATCGACTGTTTTGATAGTCAGAGGAAGTGCTTGATAACAACTATTGTGCTGTAATAATTATGATATGGTATTTTTAGTAAGGTAATTAGGGCTTGCACGCACGGGCGGTTTTTGTCGCGCGAGCCCTTACTATAGCTCCGATAAATTGTCAAAATTCAGTGTGAATAGTAACGATTAATGTCAGAAGCAATAACCATGATCAGTTTGAAGCTATTGTAGGAAGGAAATGTCTCAACTTCGATCCAATGCGTGAGAAATCAGAGTTTACAGAAACATCACCTAAAAACTATCACTTTCCAATTCTTTCTCCAAGTCTTATGACCTTCCAGATTCTTCAAGAACTATGCTCGTGGCTCGGCGATGCCAGTGAAGGCGCGTTGTTCGCGTTACACCGTCTAGCGCGGGCTGCTCGGTCGAGGAGCAGTGAAAGGGCCACTACGTGAGTAGCGTGTAGGCTTAGCAAAAGGATCTACCAGATATAGGATAATATCATGATACTAATAAGCCATAAATTATGTATTTTGTTTATTGTTCCTAACCAAAAAAACATTTTTGAAGTTCCTAACTCAACCTACTCGTACGTGTTGCTCTAAATAAAAGCTCCTACATAGCAACTAAGAATATTTTCAAGCAATTAAGAATTTTCTCACTATTCTGAACTAAAATCCTTTAGGTCATGGAAGCTTCCAGAAGCCGAAGGAACAGCTCCAGCTCCGCCACAGAAGTACAGCGTCCGTTCTCCGGACTACGTATCTGGAGATGAAGGACCACCACCACCACCGCCTCTGCCCAGGCATAGCAGCAGGCACAAACAGGTACAGTTGCATGATCCCTGCTAGATCATGGTAGAAGGATCAAGGTAAGAGAGAAAGCTACTATACCCGCTCTCCCGATTACGCGTCCCGTGAGCAGAGCCCACAATCTACCGCCGCTGTCCAGTTACAAGATCCCTGCTGGATTATGAAATCTTCTAGAAGCCGAAGGAACAGGAGAGCTACTACGAAACGCTGTTTAAGTAGTTTCGGTTCTATCTGTCACCATCGCTTATACACTGGCACCTCGCTCTGCGTGAGAGGGATGGTAACATTCGAAACTTCGGATAACGTTTTTCGGAGTAACCCCGCAATCATGGAAGCTTCCAGAAGCCGAAGGAATAGTTCCAGCTCTGCCACAGAAGTACAGCGTCCGCTCTCCGGACTACGTATCTGGAGATGAGGGACCACCACCACCACCGCCTCTGCCCAGGCATAGCAGCAGGCACAAACAGGTACAGTTGCATGATCCCTGCTAGATCATGGTAGAAGGATCAAGGTAAGAGAGAAAGCTACTATACCCGCTCTCCCGATTGCGCGTCCCGTGAGCAGAGCCCACAATCTACCGCCGCTGTCCAGTTACAAGATCCCTGCTGGATTATGAAATCTTCTAGAAGCCGAAGGAACAGGAGAGCTCCTACGAAACGCTGTTTAAGTAGTTTCGGTTCTATCTGTCACCGTCGCTCTTACTGGCACCTCGCTTTGCGTGAGAGAGATGGCAACATTCGAAGCTTCGGATAACGTTTTTCGGAGTAACCCCGCAATCATGGAAGCTTCTAGAAGCCGAAGGAATAGTTCCAGCTCCGCCACAGAAGTACAGCGTCCGCTCTCCGGACTATGTGTCCGGGGATGAGGGGCCACCACCACCACCGCCTCTGCCCAGGCATAGCAGCAGGCACAAACAAGTACAGTTGTATGATGCTGGATTACGAAAACTTCTAGAAGCCGAAGGAACAGTACTACGAAACGCTGTTTGCGTAGTTTCGGTTCTATCTGTCACCGTCGCTCATACTGGCACCTCGCTTTGCGTGAGAGGGATGGCAACATTCGTAACTTCGGATAACGTTTTTCGGAGTAACCCCACACNAAAAATGCTTGATTTTGTATTGTGATTAGTTTTATTGCCAACTTTTCGAAAAGCGCGCGAATGTAAAATATTTTGTTGAAAACTGTCAACATACTTACAAACGAGTACCGGAATGTGTCAACAGATGGCAGCTTTAATAGTTCCACTACTCCCTGATAGATGTCGCAGTCTACTATGAGAAATGTGATGAAGCATGTAGTTTATGAACACTATAAGAGATGTCGCTATAAACAGGTCTCGACAAGCTTCTTCTACTAGGCGCTAGATGGCAATACCTGTTCAAGAGGCAAATATTGTAATATGAAAAACTTTTTATTTAATGAATATTTTTTTTTGCGAAATCATAATCAATTCTCCTGCTTTTTCGGCACAGTAAAAATTGTAGAAAGTAAATCTGTAGTTTTTTCCTTAATTTAAACAACTGAAAAAACAAGTGTCGTAGTCGTAGCATAATTAATGTTAAGTAAGCAGGCGGAAGTATTTTTTTAATTTTAACTCATTTTTTATTTATAGTAATTAATTAAGTTTTAAAATGTAAAAAAAAACATGCTCGACTAATCCGTTAAGGTTAGATTATATTGCTTTAATTCGTCCTTCTCGATAGAACCACATAAAAACTTAAAAAAGCGTTTTAGGTAACTTTGGAATAAAATCCCAAAAAAAATTTTTTATGGTGTTTCTGTTGAAACACCGGGAGAAGAGCATGGATGCGGGCAGCGCAGGACCGTTCATTGTGGAAAACCTTGGGGGAGGCCTTTGTCCAGCAGTGGACGTCATTTGGCTGAAACGAACGAACGAACGATGGTGTTTCTGTTGAAATTAGACAGGTAGGTACCTAAAATAGTTTAAAACGTGTTTAATTAACCTACTAACAGTGATCGCGACTGCTGCGAATTTCTTTATCAATTTTTATATCAATTAATTATGTGTTGTGTGGCTTACCTGGCTATGTTTAGATTATTTAATTTTTATTTTATTGATTAACCTAGTAGTTAACCTACTACATAAAAGGCGATTCAACTTTGTGAGTAGGTAACATAAAATCTATCATGCCTTTATCCCAATTTGCAATTCATCAAAATTAGTTCAGCGGTTTTGGCATGAAATGAAGTTCAAAATACAGACAGACATTTTATTATTTTCTTATTAACTTACAATATTTTTTGTGCTAAATAAACTTTTAATTTTTTTTCCCTTTGTGATTAAATCTAATAATTACGAAATATAATTTGTAGCAAAATCATTTGTTTAGGTTTCTTAAGGCTGAGTTGCACCATCTAAGCTTACTACTACTAAATCTGTCAAACTCCATACAAAAAGCACCGGTTATTGTTATTGTTACGGATTAATTAAGGTGGTGCAACTCAGCCTAACAAATCAAAAGCATTCGTTTTCAGATAATAGAATATATTAGAATACTTGATATAAAATTATGACTTAGAAACTAACGTCTGAATTAAATACTTAACTAAATAAATAAAATGCAGAATTTACAAGACACAGTAAGTAGGTGTTCGGTTACATACATAGAAGTTTCTTCTTCTAAGTTACATACATCGATTAATAAAACCTAGATAGTAGATAGTAGGTACCTACTCGCAAGAGAAAATAGATCTACCATTCTGGCTCTATTGAAACGTTACATCCGGTACAAAAATCCGACAAATTTTATTTATTTAGTTAAATGTCTTATAAAAACAAATTAATAATAAAATGTTATAACGTTAAAACTCTTCCACTTTCGGAAAAATCGCTTGTAATGTACATTTTTCTCAACGTAATGACAGTGGATGACATAAGATTTTGCCTCACTTTAGTTAGACGAAGCGCTTGTATGAAACTTTAATATCTATCTAGGCTTTTTTAATAATCTAAGGTTACCTACTATCGGTACCTTGGTACTAAATTACTTATTCTGTGCTATCGGTAAACTTTTTTTTAAAGAAAATAGTCAGCCATTCAAAGACAACCAAAAACAAAATAAATGTAAAAAAAATTAAAAGTAAACAAAAAGGTTTTTCTTTTTCTTAAAACGCTGGTGTCCTACTTTGGGACAAAACATCAGTCACTAGTCAGTAGGTAAGTAGGACTGGTAAGACTTCTTTCCAAATGAGTAATGTTTCTTTATTCACGTGCTCATTTTGCCTAATGCCATAAAATGATTTATTCCCAGTTTAAATAAAATTTTATCTTAAAAAAATATAATAATAAATATCTTGTTTAAAAAAAAAATCTACCTTGGATTATTTTGATGCCAAGTTTACTTAATCATAAATCGACTGTTTTCAATATTGTCGCAGTCTATTTGTTTGTACGATTTTTCAACTAATTTAGGTATGCCTAATGGCAGTTTTAGGACCCCGCAAAACTGGACTCCGTGGGATAGGTACTAAAAACATTTTCCCCTTGCGAAATTCGTCTAGTAGGTACAGGAAAATTACAAAAATATTAATATTAAAAAAATAGGGTTGAAGACATACTTACTTAATTAAATATTAAATACCAATTTATTTGACAGTTCGAACACAGATTTGGTTCACTACAATAATATTTTAAATATTTTGACTATATAAATTGAATATCAATAAAAACGTGTTAAAAATAATATGAACCCTTTATGACAGTTCGTAAAAAATATTAATATTATTTAAAAATAGTTTATTAATCAATCCTTTACATTATAAAAACTTGACTAAAATGAAACACAAAAAATCATAACAATATTTCCATCAAAAATCCACCGCGCCGCTAAGCAATCAAAGTGACACAACTCAAATAAATAAATTTCTCAGCGACCTCCACTTTGACGCGGATAATGAAACCTCTGTCACACCAAATTTGATTGTAGACACCATTAATGTAAAGCCTATTGCCTTCCCACCGGCTTTATCGTACAAAACCATAATCTAACACCCTTTACCACTCCAAATGTCAAACCCAATACCATAAAGTAGCTATCTTCAACAATACATTATCCCCACTTATCTATGGCCATAACATGAAACTTGGGATCTATTTTATTATAAAGTGCATTGTCTACTATGGAGGAGCTCGGTCGACCGCCGAACGTAAATAATTTAACTGTCTTAAAAGATTCAAAAATAGTTTCCTAACATTGCCCCCCTTAATATGTACACCATTTGTCAGGCCATAACTGGATTTAAACGGCGCGTTACAAGACAAAAGGCCACGCCCTCAGACAAAAATATATTAATCTCTTTCTTACTTGAGCGCGTGCCACTAGCGGTAGAGTGTAGCAGTCTCTTTTCAACAAATGATAGCGAGTATGTTTACCTTGTTACAATGCTGCTAAAAATGTGCCAACTGCTTCTGTTTGTCACTCAATTATACATTTTACGATACCCTGCAATAAGGTTCACAATTTAAAGGCTACGGGACATGGGGGGACTCAATTGAAGCGAGACGTACAGTGAAAGAGACGGAGTGAATCGTTTCGTTTAAGTTAGTGACGCCAAACGAGTTTTTATGTTTGGAAATCGTATTAAGCTTTTGTTGGAAACTGTTCCACTCAACGGGCATAGTTGAGGCGTTTGTGCGGTCAAACTATCGCGTTCGAATTTCGAAAAACGGTGGGGGCGCTGCTGATTGGCTCGTTTGGTCCGATATTGTGTGTAACGATTCGGTCGCGGGCGGTCGAGCGTAGAGCGCGAATCGGAGCTTTTTCGAATAAGAACCGCGAGTTGCATTTGCGTTCTGAATTAAAATTCAAACAATATTTAAAAAAAAATGAGTGTTAAGTAAAATGTTCGACACTTGTAAAAAATAAATAGTGTTATTACAGAGTGCCAGTGTTTTTAACAAAAATACAATAACGTTATCAAATATGTCATCGGTGCATTCTGATGATGATCAGGAGGAGATCAACGTTGACTCCGACAGTCGGCTATCGGGACAATGCGATCGAAGTGTCGGGTCCGAAGACCGTGATTCAGAACACAGCTACCACGACAGATACCGTGATTCACCCAGCGACCACATGACTGATACGCAGCCGAGAGTAAATCTGCCTTTTAGTATATCTCGATTGTTAGGTAAACAGTTCGAAGAGATAGATAAACGCCGGCATTCGGGAGAGAGTGATGACCGTAGTGATCAGGACACTGAATCTGAGAGTGCAAAAGACGATGGGAAGGACTCAAATTTGCCTTTGAACTTTTCACATGCTCATGGGTTATACCCTAACTCTGGGTTGTTGTT